AGAACTCCAGACAAAATAATAACAGAAGTCACAAGGTCCCAAGGGTAGTCAAGGCTTCTAATCCTAAGTCCAAGAGGTCCATAACTCCATAATGCCAAGGATAGTAACCAAATAGTCCAATCAACCTTAAAGTTTTTATTGTTCAAGTTGGTTATTAAGTATCTTCAAAAAGAAAATGAAAGCTCAAGTGAGCAAAATAAAAATGACGTAAATATAAAGGCTCAAGTGAACAAAGATGAAAATAGAATGAAATGAAAATGCTAAAATAAATGGTGCGTACAAGTAAAGAGGTAAAGTAAAGCATAAAATAAAAGTCAACTATTAGTGAGTTAGAAATTAGAGGTTAGTTGAATGACCATCTTGAAACTTGCATTTGAAAACTCATTAGAAGATTGATAAAGTCAAAGCTTCTCAACAACAAGTTTCATTTGCTTTTTGTCAAGTATATCATTCATTTTAAGTGTTCGAGGTGACAACATATGATCAACGATGTTTAAATGATTCACTTAGACCAAATTTTATGAAGGTTCGTTAGAGGATTGATAAGACCAAAGCCTCCTAACAATGAACCTCAAGTTTATTGGATCAAAGGTTTCAAATTAAACATACTTGGGCTTGCAAACACAGGTTTGGGCCAGAGATGATCTCAAGTATTTTTACAAAAAAATTAGTAATTTTTTAAAACAGAAAAGTTTTTAAATTATTTAAAATCACTCAAGTAAGTGATAAATGATAAAAAAAATAGTAAAAATCAGAATAAAATTCTAGAAAAAATTCCAGAAAGTCAGAAATAAATAAAATGATTTTGATGAATTTTTCCAGAATTTAAAAATGCCAAAAAGTATTTTTAAATAATTAAAAACAAGTCAAAACAAGAAAAAATGATATTAAATATGAAAATAAAATCATGAAAAAATAAAATCATGAAAAAATAAAAATCAGAAAGAGAATATTAAAAATATTTTTGTGAAATTTTTCATAATTTTTTAGTCATAAATGAATTTTCTATGATTTTTTGAAGTTCAAAGCAAATAAATATAAAAATCAGAAAATAAAAATAGAAATAAAAAAATATGGACCATTGGATGAGAGTCAAAATACGTTAGTAAACAGATCCAATGGATCTGGCGCGCTGTGCATATCATGGTCTTTTTTAAAAATCACACCAAATCATTTTTTAATAATTAAAAGTGACTTAAAATCTGGCGCGTTGGATGAAGTCTGACTAATGAAAGTAATCAGATCCAAGGGTTCCTATGACGCGCGCATGGTAAATTAGATGCACTGAATAAGATTCAAAAAATCACATGTCACGTTATCATTGGCTGAAGCACGGCACGTAGGTCGTCTTCAACCTCCAGATGCCCTAAATTGGAGTTTCACAAACTATAAAATTAGAGAATCAGACTGGTACCATTAGATTCGTCTCTTCAAGACGATTCTAATGGTACTCTCACGCCAAATTTATATAAGCCGAGCAAGGCTGGATTTGGAAAAAACCAGAAAAAATAGAAAGCACAAAAATTCCAAGTATCTTTCTCAATTCTCAATGAAAATGAAAACCGTAAGAAGTGTGAGAATCAGAAGGATGAATAGAGTAAAATGAAAACCTATAATGTTTTTATTCCAAACAAGGTCTTCTTACAAAATTTTTCTTTGATCAATGATGCTAGCTTGAAGTAGACTCCTTAAGGAGTATTGTGAAACTTGTATCACTCAAAAATTCCAAATATTGGACAAGTTATGATCTTTTGAATTTGATGAAAATCCATAAGGTGACCTATAATCTTTTGAGCTCTTAAGGCATCTTCTAACCATTTTCAAGTTTTGCACATAAAAGAAGAGTTGAAGTTCACACTCTTAAGATCATTATGGAAAAATGGGCTTAAGGAGATAAAAATTGATCAAGTTATAACCCTTTGAAGTCACATAAGGGAATTTGATGGCTTATCTAGAGGGCTTGTAATCTTTCTCAATCATTAGTGATCTTTCATACAAAATTTGCTTGAAACTTTTGAAGTGATTTGTTGATAACCCTTTAAATAGAAGCATATCTTTGGAATCACTAAAAAATCTCAAAAGATGGACAAGATATAGCCCTTAGAAGTCCAAAACCCTAACTCATAGAGCATCAAAATGGCTTGGGAACCCCTTTCAATTTTAACAATATTTCTTGTACAAATACTTTTGCTATGTGAAGAGGAGTTGTTGTGGATGATAATAAGAACCTATAGCAACAATAACCACTTCCAAATGTTGAGAATTAAAGGAGTTATGCACTTGTGATCAAGGAATCAAGAACTTGTCCAATTAGGTCAAACTTCTTCAATCAATTCTTGCTTATTTTGACTTCCGTTGACAATTGAAGCATGATAAATCATAGTAGACCTTTTCATGACATTATTCTAAAGCACTATCAATGATGAAGCTTAAATCTCAATGAAACTTTGTTGAAGAAGACACGGAAATAAACTCATGAACCTATGAATCAACCTGATGAAGTGTGTTGTGCCATCACCTATAGTACCAACATTTATAGAGAAAAAAATTCATTATATTTGTTAGATAAAAGTCAATCAATCCAAGACATATATGACTATAATACACAAATCAAAGTGCTTGGTGATCCCTCATGAGAAAACCTAAAGATAGGGAGAAGAACGAAATCCTAGTGTGATCTTGATATGATTGGGTTGATATGAGATGATAGAGGAATCTGAGGGGCAAAAATTAGGGGTATAACAATATGTATAAATCTAATAAATAACAATATATCACATACGAGCATGTCCTCGTAAAGATCACGAAACGTCCTTGTTGCAAACAACAAGCGCCAACAACATGTTTTTCTCCTTGGCGCATAGGCTGGCTCTAAGTCATCACTCATATGCCTAGAAGCAACGACTTGGAGGGCTGATGTTCTGGTCTGGCCAAATGTCTAAGCATGGCCCAATCCACTTCTACATCCAAGATGGCCCAATCAATTGGAGCAGACGAAGGAGAGATTTCTCTTCTGCCCCTCAGCCAGGGACTCGTGGTCGGTTGCCTCCCAAGGACCAAAGAGACCATATTTTCTCTCAGCAACACTTTTGTCCCTTAGCCGGGGATACATGGTCGGTTGCCCCCAAGGACCAAAGAGACCACATCTGCACTCAGCAGCACTTCTGCCTCTTTGTCGGGGACACGTGGTCGGTTTCCCCCCCAAGGACCAAAGAGACCACATCTTCCCTCAACAATACTTCTTCTCCTTAGTCGGGGATATGTGATCGGTTGTCTCCCTAGGACCAACGGGACCACCGCTGCCCTCCGCAGCTACTTCTTCCCATCAGTCGGGGACACGTGGTCGGTTGTCCCCCTAGGATCAACGAGATCAAAACTTCCCACTCAAACATGCTAGTCCCCATCAAACCAGCCACACGAGGACAATGATCCAAGAATGGCAAGAATCAGCTTGCCCGTGAGCACTTCTCTGCTCGTCGTAACGATCAACATCTCTACTCGTTACGACTAATTCCTGGAATCCTTACGCCTGTCTACATTGGCCACCTCCAGGTCTGCTCGAAACACGTGGAGCAGACAACCAGGGAACGTCCAAGACGCATCTGCCCGCAGCGGCAGCTTCCTTCACGTCTGCCCGACACGAGTCTAGCAGACAACCAGGAAACGTCCAAAACGCATACGCCCGTAACCCGCCTCCTGCTCGGATCCAACGACTAGTTACAGATACGATTTCCCGTTTTGACCAAGTCCTGACAGTTATCTATTTTTACGGACCCGTATATCTAGGCTAAAAAATAGGGACCGATGACCAAGCGCCCGAGGCATTATATAAACTCTTATACATGTGAGGGACATGTATTCAATGGTCATCACATACTTCTAAAACCCTAGACTTTCTATCTTGTATCTCTTTGTGCTCCTATTGACTTTAGCATTAGAGTGCCTTGCAGATACACCCCTCCTCCTCCATTCTAGTATTGGAGTCGAAGTCTCTGGCCTATTTCAGATTCTGACCAACTGATAAGATCATATATATATATATATATATATATATATATATATATATATATATATATATATATATATATATATATATATATATATATATATATATATATATAATCTATTTTTTTTTATTAAATCAAATAATTGATAGTTACAAAGAGATATTTGATTATATAATATAATTTTGAACATACAACTTTCACTTATTCATTTTTACTTATTTATTTTTGCTTATTTATTATTAAAAAGTGGAAACAAAAATTTACTTACCTTTTTAAAATGTTACTATCGTATTTCAACTCATCTAGTGTTATAACTAATTATTATTAATATGATTATTAAAAATATTAATTTATAAATATTGATTTATTAACTTATATTAATGAAGATTGAACTTTATACTAATAAATTATGAATATTTAATTCAACTAGTATATATGTTAAACTATTTTGCCTATCCATTAAAACACTAATTATAAATAATAAAATTATTTTAATAAATAAAACTTACTTATTTTATTATTGAAATCAACTAGTATATAGTTAGTATTTTTTTTGGCTATGTACTAGTATTCTTTTTATTTTTTTAATCAATTAAATTTAGTAAAAACAATTGAACCAAATTTCTTTTTATCAAAATAGTAATCATCGGAAAGGACAGTAGCAGTTAAAAAGGTAAACAAAATCTTTAAAAAAACATAGAACTAACGAAACCCTGCTCAGCACACAGAAGCAGGAAAACCACGTACTATTCGTATTTTTGTTTTGTAAAGTAATTGACTAAATATGGTAGTAATCAAACAAATAAGTCAAACTATTGAATATTTAGATTAATGATAGTATGGAAAATAATGAACGTGCACACGTTTCAACACACTTTATCATTTATGTATTGTGTCCTTCAAGTATATATATAAGCTGTACTATTCATTGTAAATTGCACTCATACACAGTGATTGTTTATCATCTTCTCTCTCTTTACAAATTCTTCACTCATGGCTGGTTTCAGATGGATAAGGCCCGAGGTATTTGCATTTCTCTCGTTAGCTCTTTGATTAATGACAAAGTAATGATGTTGCAATGCAAGTTCTGGTTAATATTATTATATTTTTTCTTCTTTTTTAATAGGTATACCCATTATTTGCTGCAATGGGCACAGTTGTTGGAATATGCGCCATGCAACTTGTTAGGAACATATGCACCAATCCTGAAGTCAGGTACGTATACATTTCATGGTTCATATACATCAATGAAAATGAAGATTGAATAATGTGATGAATGAGTTATATTGAATTGGTTTTTAGGGTAAACAAAGCGAACAGAAAGGCTGGTGTGCTGGAGAACTACTCTGAGGGTGAGGGATATGCTGAACACAGAGTCAGAAAATTTTTACGCACTAGGCCACCTCAGGTTATGCCGTCTGTTAACAAGTTCTTCTCTGACCCAGATTTGGAATGATTGAATCAAGTTCTTATCAGAATATTTGGACAAGTTTGAAATAATTGAATGTGAAAAAGGATAAACGTGGGAGGTTCTTGTAACTTGTTGATGGTTCTCAACTATTTTTTGAATGTAATAAAATATTTCTATACTTTTTGCTGCTTCTATTCGATGTCGCTTATGATAGAAGATGATATATTTTTCCTTAAACTGGCAATCATAACAAAATGATATCAATACGTAGTAGCTCTTAAATTGTAGATCCAATGAAATAAAATCCTTCATATTGATTCTTATATATTGTTCAATTGCATTATTTATTGCTTCGAGTAAACCAAAATAGTATCACATTGCATGAGAATCGAAACTGAAAATAGTTTATTTACGACACTTATACACCTTAATTCCATGAGACGTATTTCTAGAGAACGACTGTGAGAATTCTCACACTAAATCGGACAATACCTTATAGCCGTCTGAAGTAAGAGACATTTTCTAAAGGACAAAGTCGTAATGGCACTGTGAAATATTGGATAGAACTTTAATATGGTCAAAGAGTAGCTTATGGGTTCGATAATTTGACAGGATCTAAGCATGAGATCGAAGCTGATTCGCATGCTGGAGTCGAAGACATGCAATACTATAGTCGAAGTATATTCAAGTATGCAGTAGTCAAAATTGTTGAGATTGTAATTCCCTTGTGTCGAAGCAGGTTGCTCGAGAAAAGGAAGGTTGTGTCGAAATAGCTTAGTCGAGTTGTATTGTCAGTCGAAGTTGAAGCATGTTACTTCACATAGGATTTCGACTTAGATCTAAAATAGTTATTTGGGGCTTTGGCTTAGGGAGCAAGCTAGATCAATTATAAATAGAGGGAGTAACCCCTATTTTTGTAACCACTCATAGTATTCCCAGAATTTGCAGTTGCAAGTAAATAAGATCTTTCACAGTTTGTGAGCAGAGAGGTACTCTGCAGAAAATCATCATTTTCTCTCTATTTTGTTCAAATCCTATTTTTCTTTCTTCACTACTACAAAACACGCATATAACAACGCCAAAGTCGTTACGATTTTTCCAAAAACCGTGGTGACATGTCTAAACTCTAGCGCTAACATTAATTTTATATTTTTAATTAAAATTTTAAATGGTATAATAACGGTTGGTGTTAGAACCGTGGTTGATCCAATGAAAGTTTCATGAATTCGAACTTTATCGCCCTCAAATAGTTTATTACTTTGACGTTAATGAGCGCCTTTTCATTTTTATTTATATGAAACTAAAAATTAACTGTTATATCACTACAGTTATTTTCTAAAACCGTTGTTAGACACATGCGCTTATTTATATATTTTAAACACTATAAGTATTCATTTTCCACTGAAAAAAGAAATTAGACGAAAAATAACCCTAACACCAACGCGGTCATCATCGTCGGTATGTAAAATATATTGTTGTTGTTTAGTTTCCTTTCAGTGTCACGTTTGAAGATAAAGTCATCAAAAGGTTTTTCTATGTCTTATTCTTCTGTAAAATCTCGATCTGGAAATTTTTGTGGTTGTGATTGTTGTATGATTTTGTACCAATGCAAGAAGGACAAAATAAATAAAGGTTTTTTTTGCGATGTCCATATTGGAGGAGTGATGAAACCTATAATTTATTCATATGAGATGAAGACATGAGAGAAAAAGATAGAAATGAAGATGAGAGCATTATGAAGACAGAGTTGGAGATGTTCATTTTGAAGGTTATGTATTGAGAATCAAAGAAGAAGAACAAGAATTTGAAGAAAAAACTGAAATCAGAGAGATTATCTTGAAATTTGAAGATGTTATATTTTCTTGTCTCCTTTATGTTTAATGTTTACTTTGTTATGAAATGTAATAGTTAAGGTTTTAATTAGTTATCTGTTTGTTAGTATACTAGTTGAAATGTAATAGTTAAATTCCATTGCTGAAACTGTATATGTATTGAGCTTGACAGGAATGCAACTAAAAGACGATTTCTTACGAGTAAGTTCAACGCAAATTATTGGATTTTCAATTAGTTATATGTTTGATAGTATATAAGTTGATATATTTAAGATGATAGTTTAAGTTAATAACCTTTCATTACATATAAACTTTAATTACATAAACTTTCATTATATTAAATTAATCAAATCTAGATCATCTGGCTGAGAGGAAGTTTGACCAATCATTGTCAGCATCATCATCATCAGATGAGAAAAAGTTATCTTCCTTATCAACCTTATTTTTCTTTTTCTTTTTCTTTTTCTTCCTCTTATTCTTCTTCTTCTTATTATTATTATTATTATTATTATTATTATTATTATTATTATTATTATTATTATTATTATTATTATTATTCTCTTTCTTCTTCTTCTTCTTCTTCTTCTCCTCACCCTGAGAACTCTCAAGTACAATTTTGTTGCACAAGACCGACTTCTTTCCTCATCTTGATTCTGAGGATGGTTTTTCACCACAACACCCTCTATAACAACAATGTATTTATTCTCAGTATTATTGGTAGCTTAAGCAGGAGAAATCATTTTGATTCATTTGGATGAAGTTAGTTTTGTGTTCTTCCACTTTTATATTTTCTCTTGAAAGTTGGAAAGATTTCATGCATGTCAAGCTAGTGTGCTCATTATTGGTTGTTTAATTCTATACACTTTCTTTTGTCTTGGAAGTTGGAAGGATTTCTTCCAACCTCGAGTTGTTGAATGATTACATATCCTTGTCTTTTCAAATTTCATTTTCCATTCTTTGATATTCCTTCTTATGTACATTTTGATGTAATAATGGTTTTGATATCATCTTATAAATGGTGTATTGTTGATTCTGGTATGATACGTTTTAAATTTATTCATAAACAACATCAGAATGATTTTTACTCTTAACCGTTGTTATAGGGTGTGTGTTATTCAATTTACTACAATAGTCGCTGAATTATGATTGAAAGTAACACATATACAACAATACGCTATATAACAATGTCTGAACCTGCATGATTAAATATATAATCCAATCGTTGTTAAAAACCCATTTTCATAGTAATGCTTCCTCTATTTTTCATTATCATTGTATGGTGATAATCATCTTGTTTGTCAAGATTGATAGAAGTTCTCCATAGGTTTTGGTGGATTTCCAACATCTGATATCTAGAGCTCCAATTGAGTGATTCAAGGGAAGAGAATCATGATGGTAGTGAATCATCCAAACGAGCATTTTCCAGCAAGTCTTCAGATTCTAAAAGTTGATAACCATGAGAATTAATGCAAGCAAATGGAGGTAGTGTTATGTTGTCAAGATATTTGGGATCTTGTGAAGGAAAAATTATAACCACTTGCAGAAGGTGCGACGGATGAATAAGAATCCGAACACAAAGAATTGAATAAGAAGAATTATAAAGCTCTCTTTATAATTCATCAATGTCCGAGTCTTGACAATTTCAAAAAAGTTAGTGATGTAGAATCCGTGAAAGAAGCTTGAGATATTATGGAAAAGTCTTTTGGAGGTGCAGAAAAGGTGAAAGAGGTGAAGTTACGAACTCACAAAAGAATGTATGAATTGTTTCAGACGGAAAAAAGTTAAAGCATAATTGATTTCTTTACTAGGGTTAATGAAATTATGATATATCAGACTTCAGATGTCCTATGACATATTGGGACATCTGATTCGACTTAAAATAAACACGTAATGTATAATCAATAAAACAGTACTAAAAGCATAAACAACACACATGAACTGTTAACCCAGTTCACAACAACTCTCCTACTCTGGGGGCATACCAAGCCAGGGATAAGTTCACTAAAATAGTATCAATTCAAAGACCCTACAAAAAACATACCAGTTTATGATCTTCTCACTTAATCACCATCCTTTCTAGACTTCTATCTAAGACCCATCTAGATATGAGGCCCTCCACAATCGCTCATTAATCACATACAACGATTGTACAAACAGGAAGACACACTTCCATGACAACAAACTAGAAGATTCACTTCCATGACAATACCTAGCCAAGACTCTTAACTAAGAACACAACTTGGAGTTGTTTACAAGCTTCCTCCAAGAATAATACTCAACTCATTACCTAAAGGCTTCTGAGTGAGAACAGAACCTTACAACTCAAGGAACTCAATCCAACTTATATGTCCAGTGGATCATACAACCAACTCTCCTAGAGAGTGGTACAGACTCAGCCCTAATGATTACATCTTTCTAATTCTCGACTGATACTTCTTCTAGATTAAAATTCTTCTATTTATAACCTATCTCCCAACTGGATTTGGGCTTCAAATCACATCTCATTAGCTGTTACAAATATTCAGAAGTTTCTACTACAAGATAGGTCTTCAATCAAATTTTTCCTATAAAGTCTCCTTATTTAGAAAGCCAATATTCTTCAATATTCTTCTTGATTCTTCCAGACCTTTAAATCAGCGCCTCATAGGATTTTTTAATATTCCCAGAATATTCTACATCTATTAAATCATAACAAAATCCAACAGTTCAGCTCAATTAAGGCGCGACGTTGAATGACCCTGCATAGGAAATCTTATCCGACATGTTGCTCCAGATGTTGAAACACTTCAACTCAACATGTCTCAACATAAAATATGACTTCTTGCTCAATCTTTTCTTCATAGCAAGTAATCACATCCTATTTAACATATTGTTGCTATGTTTTTATTACTGAAATTAATGCTAATCCTAACAATAGAGAATTAACAATCTCCCCCTTTGGCAAATTTTGGCTAAAACAAATAATATAAATTATAACTCAGATTACAACAATAAGAAAAATACAATCCTTCAATAGTAGTCTTCAAAAACTATTGAACAAAGCATCATAGAAATATGGAGTCAGTCTTCATAAGCACAATAATGTTAGGACATCATATTCGGCATCGTCTTCATGGCAACACCATTGTAGCAAGAACTTCAACACCAAAGAACAAAAACCTCAGGATAAAGGAGTAGAAAGTCCTGAAGTCATTTGGTGTACACGAGGAAGAA